TCTGAAAAGCAACACCTTGAAGAAAATAGTAGCATTCCTTGTATACCCAATGGTCTAGGGAGCAATACTAGTTGCATGTGTGGAACCTACATTATCAGAGGCAGTAGATCTTGAGATACCAAGGGACAAAGTGTAGCCTAAAACAGCTTTTTCCCAACCTGGTGCCCTCCAGATGTTGGACTGCAACTCCCATGATTCTCAATCACATAAAGTCCTACATCTGGAGGGCATCAGGATGGGAAAGCCTGACTTAAGGTCTTTTTGGTAGGATCTGGCTGCTATTACTTGGCAACAGCCAGCTGCAAAAAAAAGACTCCTCGTCTTCATTTAGCAGGACTGCTCATGTGGTACCTTCTTATCTTACAATTCTTTCTTCAGGAATGGTAGGAAAAGCATCCTGCTTTTGAATGCCTTTCTGGGAAGGGACTAGCATAACTGAAGGAACTAGGGAGGTTAGGCAAGTAATAGCCCTGTTTTCTTATTTAGGCTGACACCTAATTTTGGCTTGGGGTTCTCTTCTTTTCCTAGAACGTCACCTGCCTTGGTACTTGGCATCCATTCCTGTAGCATTAGCAGCTGCAATTGTGGGAGTAGTATGTATCCGTAAATACTGGAAGAAGCGAAGATCTGCCAAAGGATATATTGCAGCCGAAACCTAAAGAACAAAACTTTTTTCCGCATCCAAACCATCACCCAGCCCTCAGCATGTCAAAAAACCTCTTGGTGTTCCATGGAGAAAAGTTCAAACACAACTTCCTATGATATAATGACTTAAGTAAAATGCAACCTGTGTCTTTTTAAGTGTCTCCAAAATCTTCCATCTGAGATGGCTCCCTGACCGACCCAATGTGGTGTTAGGATGTGTTGTGGGGGCTGAAAAAGGCAGTTGTCAAGGCATCTGCTTCCTTAACAGGCCTCTGGCTGTCTGTAAAAGCTTCATTTTGTGAAGGTGGGCCTGCACACACTTGTTAAATAATTTCTGTGTGCATTATCTCATGTTGTTCCATTTTCAAGGTCCTTTCAGGCTAGAGCAGAACTGCAGCCAGTTAGTCTGTGTGATTTCATCTTGGCTTCTGTGAATACTCCATTCCCCAAAATGCATAGGAACAGCATTCAGGCAGCTGATGATCAGCTAAGGAGGCTCATTGCACATTTATCAAAGGCTTTTGAGTATAAAACATGGTACAGACAAAGGGTGCCCTTTGCCTTCCATTGGTTTTGTTATGTTGCCATCTTGCTTTTGGCTTGTGACTTTCAGTATCATAATGTGAACTCGTCACTACTGGAGGATAGTGCTTAGGTATGTATAGACATGTTTAAGTGGCTTTTGTTATTTTCTGGCTGAAGAATTGTTTCCAAAGACTGCCCTTGTAAATAAACATCCCAATGTTATCGTTAAAGGTGGGTATTGTATTTCAGTTAAGCCTGGATCCTAGGACCAGAGCTTTCTGCTTGGTTATTGCTATTATTTACAGTTTCTAGGACATTGAAATAGAGGATGCTGGCTGGAGCCCTTTTTCCTAAGCCCTAAGGGTCCAGAAAGCCCCCTGGATCAGCCTGTGTTGGACCCAAAGGATGGTGGCTGCATACCTTGCTGGGTTGGTGTGCAGCCCAGGTGATCTTGTGTCCCTTCCCACACACCTGGGAGTCAGGTGACCCCCTTCCTCCCTTCACAGGGCATATCTCCCTTATCTCTTCTTCTTCATTATCTACCGCGTAAGTTCCAATACTGGAAGCTAGCTTGGCTCAGAGGAAAGCACACAAATGCAGGGGTTATGGAAGGGAATAGGGCAGGTTTGGGAAGGGTTAATCATTTGCTGTTCATGCAGTGCCTTCCTCGTTTATGTACATCACACAAAACTTTAATTAATTAATTAATTAATTTCTATGCTGCCCAATAGCCCAAGCTCTCTGAACAGTTCATAAAAGCACATTCAAAGTAACAATAAAAGGTACATCATATTATAGCATCACAAAAAGTTTACAATGCAAAATTTAAAACCAAACTTAAAACAGGTGGATTGTTTGAACAGGACAGAGTAGATGAAGGTCAGGAGGGGTGAAGTTAGGAGAGGAGTTCCATCAGGTGTTGTAGTCCCAAACCATGTTGGGATTTATACATTAAAACCAGCACCTTGAATTGGGCTCAGAAGCAAATAGGCAGACAGTGCAAGCAGTCCAATATTTATGTCAAATGATCAGACTGCCCGATTCCTGCTATTAGTCTGGCTGTTGCACTTTGCAAAAATTGCAGCTTTGAAACAGTCTTCAAGGGCAGCCTCACAGAGCAGCATTACAGCAATCTAGTTGAGTGATTATGAGAGCATAGATCACTGATGGACAGCTAATTTTGTCCAGATTGGGGTGTATCTGAGCTCCCGGACAGCCTTCAGTGTATCTGGCAGAAGGCACTCCGAGCCACTGAAGCCGCCTGGGTCTCGGGTGACAAAGATGGTTCAAGGAGTGAGCAGGTCAACTGCCTGGTCATCTCTGCATTACTGGGTTTGAGTCTATATTCTTCCTCCCCTCCTTTTTTTGAAGAGGATGGACCATGGCAAGGTGTGGACTGTGTTTTATTTCATATGCTTATAGCCAACACACTGAGAGTGGATATAGCCAAAATGTCACCATTCACACTCAGAAGATACACACACACACACATAGGCATGGGGGGACTTCAAGGGAGGGTGCGCTAGACTGCAAGACAGATAATTGTGTATTTGTTAATTCATACAATAATAAAACAAAATTTTATAAACAAAATTTATAAAATTCATACAATAAAAAGCAATAAAAATACAATACCATCTAACAACTACAAGGATCAGTAAAATTACCTCAGTCACAGCAGTGATAAAAATAATTATTAAAATTTCTAAAAATATTCATTCAACAATTCTTAAAATGTCTCATAAATATAAATGTTTTTCCCTGATGCTGGAAAGATAACATTGAGGGCTCCAGGCATACTTGTTTGGGGAGCAAAGTCCTTATTCCAACTTACTTGAAAAAAATTATATTTAACGGTTTTTAAAGAGGTTCCAAGAAGGGTGCTACAGGGAGGAATGTAAAATCTATTTGCATTGTTGAAAGAAAGAAAGCTGGTCTCCTTTTCATGCCAGCTATTGATGTCATAGTAACCACTGTGCTTTTCCGCAAACTTCTCCATATTTGTTTGATGACCTCTGAGTTGCTTCATTTTCAAAGTATTTGTTTAATCATTCTGCAAAGAGGAAAAGATTGGCGTAACTATAATTAATTCCATAGATAAATTTATTTTGCTGTAGCCTGGAAATTGACTGATAGAGAATGAAAGAGAACCATCACAAACAATTATTTGCTTTCTGGGGAAAACTAGAAAAGGAAGTGAAATCATTTATGTTATTATTCAAAAACAACATTTTGCTGGCAATTTTCTCTTTTATGGTAAATTATATGATCACCTGCATGACAATACCATTCTGGATTAGCTTTAGAACAACTGGACCACTGATTAAGAGGCTTCCTGGTATGAAAACCAAGTATTCTGTAAACATTCACTCCGTTCTCTAGGTTTTTATGCCAAGAACTTTAAAAGCAGTCTATTAAAGGTTAGATCCAGGATCTGCCTTCCATTGTGAGAAGAGATCTAATCTTAGGAACTGCCTCTACCCAAGTTTAGGAGGATCTTACTTCCTCCCCACAAATTTCATCTCACCCTCTTCAGCAGAGTTCTCAGAGCTGCTGTGTAGCATTTTGGCTGGATTGCCTGAGTGGCCCTTCTCTGCGCAGTTGATGGCAGTGAAGTCCAGCACTGAGCTGGATTGGACCTGATGGCCCTCTGGCCCCTTCCAACACGTTTCATGATTCTAAGTCTGCTTCTACCAGTTCCATTGCACACGTCTAAATTTAGATTGTGTTATCCAATAACATTTTGCTTTCAAAATTTCAAAGGACTCAGGAAAGCAAAATCCAAACTCTATTTAATTTAAACTGTTTACAGCCCCAGTTGGACTTAAAACCCCCTCCAAAGGAAATAAAAAAGAAGAGACTTCCTGTTAGGCTGACCACTCTAATATTATAAAATGCATCCAGCTACACGTGTGTGTCAGAAATTTAGTAAATGCCTTTGCTGAAGAAGAAAATGTGATGCAAACTATATTGGCTTTTTCCTACTGTTTTCAGCAACTGATCAGGCAAACTTGAGCTTTGCCTCGAGGATGGTTCATACATGCATTAAGGTCTTCAGTTATTTACCACAGGGTGACTCACATGTAAGTGTATGAGATGCCTCCACTACAAAGACATTTAATCAGGCAATATAAAGCCAGTGGGATTTCATGGCTGAAGGAAATGGGACTTTGCTGTAGGCAAACCAGCACTGTAGGCAAACACTCTATGAACTCTCAACCAGTAGGAATGTTGTAATACACAACAACATAAACAAATGGTCTTCTTTATTTTTCTAAGCAGGAGTCATTCTGGCTTGAGGAATGGCCACAGGGCCTCCTGCGGGCCATTCTGGCACCATGGAAGGGGCCCCCTCCAGTCAATTAGTGGCACCAGGCTCGGCAGGAGGCCTTTCCAGGCTTCTTTTTCTCATACCCCAGCCCAGGTCTTCTAAGTCAGGCCTTCGTTGGCTACCCTCCTCAGGGTGAAGCATGGTGATGCCATCATCAGGCAGTGGACTGCTGTTTTTGGCAGGGACTGTGCTGCTTCTCAGAACTGAGTGCAGGGTGCATGAAGTTCAATCCAGGAAATTTCTGGAGCAAATCATGGATCAGTCTGCAAGGGACCTGGGACTGGGCTGGAGATTCACCTTCCAGAAGAACAAGGACTCGAAGCACAGCCAAAGTAACACTAGCACTATTTATAGACAAGAAGCTGAATATCTTAGAATGGCCCCGTCGAAGCCCAGACTTCAGTCTGAGAATCTTTGGCAGAAGGTGAAAGTTTGCCAACAGTTCCTATCCAATCTGGGGCAGAAGAACTGGCAATTGTTGCAGGATGCAGATGTGCAAGGCCCAGAGAGACTTACTCCAGAAGATCCACAGCTGGAACTGCTGCCCACAGTGCTTCTACTTAGTTATTAGTTCTGGGAGTGAATACATACGCAACCCACCAGTGCAACCTGTTCTTGTTTACTTAGCTTTAGTGCCACAATAAAAATCTTTTGCACCTTCATAGTGTTAAGTCCCTTGTCCATTATCAAGTAGCAAGAATGCCATTTCAGTTTCATGCTGTAACAGCAAAAAGTGGAAAAGTCAAAGGGGGTGTCTGAATATCTCTCCAAGGCACTCTTCATGACTGTGGTTAGTTAACTGTGCCTTGTTCTTTCTCCCTGTCTTTTTTGGATTCTAGTTGAAATTGAAGTCTAGTTGCAATCACTAGTCATTATGATAACATTGGTTAAACTTAGGGTTAAATTTGTAAGCGCATAGATTTACAGAGTTAAAAAACCAAAAACCAGGCACAAGTAGAATAGGGTCATAAGTCCTTTGTAATTTGAGAGGAAAGACAGTAAATATGAACCCTTAGAGAGATTATGTTCTCCCACAGTATTTGCATGGTTTGTTTTTTGTTATTTTAGCTAAAAAAAAAGCAATGTAATCCTTTAGAAATTGTCTGCCAACAATTGTTTGCATATGTTCATTCATGCTCTTACTGTGATTCATTTATGATATAATGAAGTGCATATGATGAAATATCATTGCTTAAACTTTCCACATGCTAGCTTTTCCTCCTCCTCCTCCTCTGCCTTGTTCTTTTTAAAGGCACAAGCACCTACAAGGTGTTTTGGTGCTTGGCTTAAATTTTGGCTTTTTCTGTTGACTCACATTTTCAGCACATTGTACATGGTTTGGATGGTGCAGCTATAGAAAACTCCCTGCTACATTAGTACATGCTGGAATTGACTTTTGCAGCCAAATCCAATGGGGTACACGAATGCACTCAATTCTCACTGTGCAATGTTATGCGTATGTATTCAGAAGGCATTTCCATTGCATTCAGTGGGCAACTATGTGTGTAGCACTGCAGCCTTCATTCCTAACAGGAAGCAAGTCTTGGTAGAACATAACTTTCTGAAATCCTACTGCTGACTTATTTTAAAATAAATTGCAGTTGGCTGAATTTGTGATGCGTTTCTATAATAACTGTTACTCGTGGGAAGGCTTACTGGGGAGTGCCAGACCTCCTCCATGCAACTTTTAATTCTTCGAAGCCCCAGAACACCTGACTGAGACGCACCTTGCAGGTGACAATGAGTGTGTGACCATGGCTGAGGCTCATATTTGGTTGTTTCCGTGCTGATGGTTTGTTTTTTAAAGATGATGTTCTGAAGTTCTTTCTTCACCCAACTTATATTCACTGTAGAGGTGGCCATCTAGAAGACAGAAACATGCCAAACAGGTCTATTATA